TCTTTCCAGTTTCCTCGTTCTTTAGACTCTTTACAATTCTCCAGTGCTACAGTCTATTTCTCTAGTGTTTCCGGTGGAAAAAAGTCTCTAACAATATTCCACAGTGCTACAGTCTTTTTATCCGTCCTTTAAAAGGACTCACCCCACTCATTTCTTCTGAAGGACGCACCCATCAATCACCCATCCCATTAGCTCCCAAGATGAGTCTTCAGCTGAGGTTAGTCACATATACATATTTGCTTTTCAAAAAATTTATATATAAATGTTTATATGAAAAATCACATCCCGTCACCCATCAGCTCCCAAGATGAGACCTATTAATAAATATATTCAGCCACTTTTTATTTCTCTATATTTCAATACATTGGGCCTGGGGCCATATGAATTATGAGGTCCAATTTTTCTTGTGGTTTTGCTTTTACAGACCGCACGAGTTTTTCGCTGGAACAGTAGCCATATTGGGCCTACTAACATCAGCATTCAGCATTTTACTACAATACCCGGTGCTCTCCCCGCGTCAATGTTCTTTTCTGTTGTCCATTTATTGTGCAATGATGATGCTATGCATTCTAGCCTTATGTGCCGATTGTAGCCCCATTTGCCTCAAGACTCTCAACCGTTGTTGTGCTCTCCATTGGAGTAAAATTCTGAGGACTATTACCATCCTAACAGGTTCCATGGCAATCATTTCACTCCTTTTCATTAGCAAACCATTTATTGCTTTGGTCACCTTGCTCGGATGGCTCCTCCTTGCCACATACCTTATTCTCAGTCTATATCAAGACTCAAGGCAACCCAAACTACCTATTACCATCTCCACGTCATCCCATTCCATCAGCCAAGTATTCAATTCTATTAATATTCTACTTGATAGGATGAAAAATTAGTTCCACTGATGAACATGATTTATGATAGTGTATTTGAATTACAACATCTCAAATTTAATATCATTGTTTATTTTCATAGTGTGTAATTGAATTTATTGTTTATTTTCATAAAGTATAACTAAATTTAAGGTTGTGTTTTGGGAATTTGAATTTGATGAGTGTTTTAATTACCCTCATCAAATTCAATGGAGGCTTCATCTCCATCAACGTGTGGAGAAAGTGCAGATTGAAATTAGACGCTGATGGCAATGAAGCCTCCATTGTGACTTTCATTCATCATCAAGTCTACTGCTGCTCTCTCACCTTCCTATCATCAGAACAGCTTCTCCAACCCCTCAGTTTTTGAACTTAGATGAGTATTTATAGGATTTCAAAAACCCTAATTGAAATAGCTATGGGACCCACATCAAAATAATTAGGACAAATACGATTTGGCAGAAAGTCACATAAATGAATAGAATGAACACTTATGAAATTACTTATAGAAAAATGCAACTCTTAAACTCATAATTCTACAAATGTCAATGGTTAAGCATACTTTAAATATACATTTTCATGCTTTTATCACAACCCCCAACTGACTTATTGCTAGTCTCTAGCAATTCAAGCGTGAATTAAGAAATAAAGCATGCAGATCAGCTCAAAAAGACTAACTAGGTATTTAGAAAAAAAGATCACAATCGCAATCAAGATTACTTCAATTATAACTTCCAAAAGTGTGTTAACTAAGCATAACCTTCATACCACAAACCACAATATGTATAGCCGTGAGAATTAATCAAAGTAAAAGCCTCAACTCCATATCCTCACAGGTAAATAACTATTTAAGGCAAAGGATTTCTCTCATGGAGTTGGAAAACAGC